AAACGCATTATCAACTGCTGACTATTTGACATTTGACGAAAAGGAGGAGTCATAAAGTCGATCTACATTTCTGGACATGTTTAATTCATTTTTGTTCGTTTTTCACGTTCATTTTCTGTTCACCGTGGTGCAACGCTGTTGGTTACTATCTTTCAGCTACTCAATTGGTCGACAAATGGGAGGGAAGTAAATTTAATAGTTTAAAGGCTAAAGTCGCTGTAGAAAACAAGATATGGAAAACAAGTGAACTAGCTCCTCACAGTAAGTGAGTATATGCACGAGCACCACTGTTCACATCAGTCACTTATATTTTCTAACCATCAATTGCATCGATCCAAGGGCTCCGAATAAGGGGGTCAATTACTACCTATCTGTCCAAGTTCCTTGATTAGGGCTTTCATATTCTCATCACAGGTTTTAGTTTGAGGATCCACAGCCTCCTATCCAATATCTGTGGTGGTGGCACAGTNTCCATACCACGCCTGGGCTAGCGGGACCTTATGTGGTTCACCACTCCAAGCCCCGGGGCTTAGGTTGCCGTATACCACCGCTGAACAGCAGGCCTTCGTGACTATGGGGTTCACCCCGATTGTTGTTCATTACACACAGGTGTGTAATAAAAAACAAAAAACAAAACAAATATCGCATGATGAGGAAGCCTGTCGGGTGGTATGCATAACACTTGCCCCAAACAACATAATCTGTGCAGGTTGACCACTTGCTCCTGTGGGCTACCGCGATTACGCAAACCTATGCATCCAACCCCACCTTGTCCGGTTGTCTCACCAGGCAATGCAACGTAGACAATGGTATTCAAACACTGACAGTCTATCTGTACCCTGCCCCCGAACGTCCATGACCCTGCATCATACAGGAGAGTCAGACAGACATGAACAGCATACATTGAACCCTGAATTTCGCGGCAAAGCCAAAAGTGTCCCAATTTGGCAAGCGCCAAACTTGATTCGCGCTTCTTCTACTAACTGCCTATACGACAAAATTTCTTTTGTCTTTATTAAACTCACAAACACGTTCACGTGGAAAAATCTATGAACACCCGAACCATCCAGAGAAACTGAAGTCTAAGTAAGTTTTTGAGTCACTAGTAGCCTTATGCACCCTAATGGGTGAATTTTCAGCATTTACAACATATTTTTGGTTTCAGATTTAGAAAATCATACATAATGAAACATCATCATCATCATTATATAACGTAATACAGTGAAGCGAACTTCACTGATCGCTGCCAATCTCATAATGCATACAAGATAAGTGGGAATCTGTAAGGAGGACAGGGATTGGGCCTATTTTTAGGGACGGGAAAAGAAAGCAAACCTCTATGGTCAACACACAGAATACACAGCCCAACTGTGCATACATACAATT